ATTATACAATATAGATGTACCATAATCTTTTTAACATGCCCTCATTGGTCATGTCTAATCTTTTTTTAATCAAACAATTCTGCAATAAACAAAAGTCTCCAAACTTTATTTTGTACATGAATGAGAATATTTGCAGGATAATTGTTTAGACGTGGAATTCTTGCATCAAAGACTTTGGGAATTTGTGATTTTGATAAATACTGCAAATTGTCCTTCCCAGAGGTTGTACCAATATACATACATTTCTACAAGTATCATATGAGAACCAACAATGAAGCTTACAAATTTGGGTCAAAATTCTGTTTTATCCATAGTACACTTAGAGGATTTAAGTCTTTCAGTTATATTAGTTTACTAAAATAGGTAGTTTAAAAAAAACTTCCTTAACCCAGTGATCAAGAAAAGTAGAGCACTGAATCCTGCCCACGAGTATCCCTGGTGATAAATTCAGACCGGATTAGTTTCTTAAATTTGTGATTACGTTCTTTCTTCACCAAGGCCTGAAACATAACAATGAATCACTACCCCTTTTGGCTTCTCAAGGCTGTCAGTTTCAATCATCTTTGTAGCTCCTGAGCTTCTAAGAGAATTTTGTTTTCTCTCCATGAATTATGTTTTGAGATGTAGGCAAAGGATTTCTGCCATACATAGGTAGGTTCTTTCAAAAGCAGATATTTGTATTCTAATTACAAATAATATGAATAGTTAAGAGCTGTTCTATAAAAGTTAAAGAAAATTTGTGCCTTGAACACAGTAGGAATTTCAGATTTTGGTACTGAAAAGAATCATTTGGGGTGCATATTAAAAATGCATATTACTGGGCTTCTCCTGGAACTTCTGATTCAGTAGGTTTGAGAGGTACAGATCAGATATTTGCATATATAGAAGCTTTCCAGTGTTTCTGGCAACCAGTGATACTTGCAATGATACTGGAACTACACTTTGAGCAATATAACATTAAATTATTGCTAATGGGCTGCAGTCTCATACTTTTAATGTAGGTTAAGGAAACATATTTCAACGAAAAATTGGGTTTTTGTTGGCGGGGGAGCATTCATGGTTTTATAACATGTTGTTTTTCTTAAACCTTAGAAACCAATGTTTCTATGGCTAACATTTTCTGAATATTTATAACATGTACCCACTCATTGTTTAAGCAACTTCCATGTATTAACTTATACATAACTCACAAGCCTATGAGGTAAGTGCAATTACTCCCATTTTAGAGAAAAGGTAACTGAGGCACAAGAGGCTGAGTAACTTGCCAGAGTCAGACAGCTAAGAGGTTGTAGGGTCAGGATTCAAACCTCAGCAATCAAGCTCCTTCATACTATGTTGCCTCTCTCTTTCGATTTGAACCTGAAGGGGCTCAAATTTCTCATCTGAATAGGAGTTGGCTTGGTCCTAAATGGTAGGAACTCTGCACAGTTCAGTGGAAAGTGTATAACTATCTGTCCAGATAAGGCCTTTGGTCTATTAAAAGATTAAAGCATCTCTTAGTTAATACAATTGGATATCATTGTGGACTAGGTCTGAACGCAAGCAAGGGTAGTAGACTTCATGATAGTGATGGGCTATGTTATTAGCTGTGTATTTTTATTGTATATGAACTAATGATGGATGAAATAATTTTACAAATTTTTCCCCCATCTATCAGCTGCTTAAAAGTCCATCATGGGATCTTTCAGTACCACCGAATTAAAAAGCTAAAAAGATCTCAAAGCCTGGCTTTCTTTAAATGAATCCAATAAAATAGTTATCATGTTGGGTAGTGTTTCAAATGTCTCCCAAAACCCTTATACTCCACAATTTTTATGTGACAAA